GAGGGGATGGATAATCAGCAGAAGAAATCTAGGATTCCAAAAAGGAAAGATGGGGCAGCCTCTCCATCAGGTAGCAGGGTTGTATCACTAAATGAAGATGTCCCTGAGTCATCTGGCTCCAGGCTTTCAATGAGCTAACACATATTATTTAGATCATCATGAGTAGCCATTTACATTACATAATTGGATAGCTTAACTGATACAGAAGCCAAAAGCAAATTTACTAACCAAGTTTCCAAAATGACTTTCAACTGCAAAAGAAAAAGTTACTCTGAATTCAAAATGTTACTGACTACATTCAAAGCATCAATATTTTGATGCAAAATATTCTGGTATAGTTATTGACCTCATCTATTTTGTGTTTCTGCAAATCCTAAAATTTTTCATTCTTAGTAAGATCCATAACATAAGGAATTAATAGAAATTATGATCTAAGAAATATATATATATATATATATATATATATATATATAACCTTATTCCAAAAATAATAGAAAAACTGCAAAACACATTGTCCAGTGCAAAAGTACCAAACAATTTCGACTCATCTTTTCATTATTTTGTGTTTGTTAGAAAAGTTTTAAAATTGAAATAGTGGAGAATTTCATAGAATCACATAAAATCAACCAAAGACAACTAAAATCTTAAAGGTGATGTTCTAGAAAATTTCATGAAGATGAATAGAAATTAGGATATAATAATGCAAGACTTTGAAGGACTTAAAGGGACCTGGCATATTGTAAGCATTCAATAGTCAACTTTTCATAATAAATATTGCTATTAATAGGAAAACAAATGTTGTCAAAATAAATTTAAATAATAATTTATCAAAAGAATTAGATGAAAACAAAATTTAATATATAGCATTTGTAAGATGTCATTATTTAAGGTTTTAAAAAAAAAAACCTTTAAAACAAAGTAAAATTCCAAAATGTAGACACAGTGTTGCATCCCAATAATTCCATCACTCTGGGAGACTAAGGCAGAAAGATCACAAATCTGAGCCCAACCTGCACAACGTGTCTATTTAGTGAGACTCTTTCTCTGAATAAAAAAAGACCTGAGGATATAACTTAGTACGTCAGTCCTGGGTTCAATACCTGTAGAGTAAAAAGTAAATTTTATGAAGTCCCATTTCCATTTGAATCATTCTAATCCAAACTGACACATCAAGCAAATAAATTTATAATGACAGAGAATGCAATGATGCAACTGTCACTTAAACATATATTTTAAAAATTCCAATTTAAGGGCCAGGAATTTAGCTCAGCAGCATAAGTGTTTGCCTTGCAAGGATGCAGTCGCAAATTTAATCCCCAGTTTAAAAAAAAATCCAATTTAACAAGTCAAAATTTTAATTAAAATTATTTACAAATTAGATCACATTATTAGATCAATAAGAAACATAATTGAAAATGATAGTTATATGTAGTAAATATATTTTAGATTTTCAAACCTCTAAATATGAAAATAATATTGAGAGAAACATTAAGTATTTTTAAAATATTTTCATCAAATCATAGTGGTTGCAGTCAGATGCCTTCAAAGTGAAAGCCAACTTGTTTGACTACATAAAAATGTTATGTATTAGAAGATCATAGTTGCAATACATATAACCGAATACATATTACTATATTCGAAGATGTCGTAAATTAATAAGCAAAAAATATAAAAACAGTAGTAAATTGAATACACTATATGAAATAGTTTTCATGAAAGCTATAAAGATTTCCATACATCAGAAAGTACACTTACGTTTCTCTCTCTAAATTTAATCTTAATTAATAATGAAATTCTATAATTTTACAATTATTTAGGCTTTGTACATATACTACTTAAAACAGTGAGATAAATAACAGCATTTTGGGGGGTAAGGCTCTCACTACGTAGCCCAGGCTAACCTTGCTTCCAGCTGTCCTGCGTCAGCCTCCGAAGTGAACAATAGCAGTCCTGAACACTTCTGTGTGTTTACACAGATAAAATCAAGTATTCAAATGAGAAATAGCTTCATGAAATAAAGATAGGAATAAATACAAAAATATTCATTGAATGCTTAGTACTATTAAGTGTACGTTTTTGAAATGAAATATATCTGAATTATTGCTTATATGTAAAGTTTTTTTTTTCATTTTACATTGTTTTTAGAATAACATAGATAAATTCATTACATATCAATAGGTATCACTTTATTGTTTTCAATAATAGAAGAGCTATAAAAAGTTACACACAATATAACTACTCTTTACTTGCAAATAATAGTAACTTTAATATGACCTAATATTTTGGTTTAGTTATAACACATATGTTAACTCTGTAAAAACAAAGGACACTATATACAGTAATGATAAGAAATATCTTCATGTTTTAGCAATATCTCATACTCTCTCTATTAATTTGTTTAATTATTGGGGAGATAATTAGATATTACCCTTCCAATTTACCATTATAGCAAAAATATTTTCTCATTTATGCTTTAGGTTATAGACTTCTAATATTTAATATTTAACATTTGCATTTCATTTTATCAACAAAATAACTGCATATGTTTTAAACATGACTATTTAGATTAAAATAAATATAGTACATGAAAACAGGAACGTTTAATCAATATGGATTAAATCCTCGATCATTCACAGCTTAGTTGAATCAAAACTCATTTCACAGTTTATCTTTGATAATTTGAAGGCCCTAGCTAATTAATTTAACCTGAATTTAATTTACTTTATTCTTATTGAACAGCTTAAAGTGCTTTATTGATACTAGATTTCCTGATTTCAACAATCACCTTGGTATAGGGGATGGGATGGTAGGTTTGGGAAACCACATCCGAACACAGCAGAGAGCCGCTCAAAATAGTGTATGAGTAAACTGGAGAAGAAATGGAAGGGATTTAGTAGGCCAGACTCACAATGAGTCTTTGCATATTGGAGGAATATTGGAGATGGAGAGGCAAGTAAAAAGAATGAAGGCAATGTGGGAATGGCACACTTAGGAAGCACCCATTACCATAATGAAGGCATAGCAACCAGATATCTTGAAAAAAATTCCTTGTCCTCAAATATGACTTTGCCTCTGCTCTTCAGAACTTCCAACTGCTTGATCAAGATCTTAACACTGGAATATATTTTTCCTTGAAGCTATTAGTTGAGTTTTATTTAGTATCTACAGTTGAAATTGCTATGCAACTGCTTTATGAGAATATTCATGCTTTTCCCAGTGACAGCAAGTATTTTTAATGGCTTCATTCATCCCCCTAATATTTCTACCCAACAAAGTTAAGCTATGTAAGATACTCATAGTCTAACTTCCCATAGCTGAAAAATATCGGTTGTGTTTATAACACAGACTTGGAGTATTTTATATTTTGGAAATTGAAAATTTGGGCTTTAATAGTTCAGTGATCAACTTATACAAAATATTGGCCCTTTAAATTAGGAAAATATAACCCTAATATATGCACGCAGCACATTGGTTTCTCCAAATTTCTTCTTTTCACCATTTCTTCCTTCACAGAGTTTTTTATTCATAACATAATCAGTAAGTGATATAAAACAGTAAAAGAGATCTTTGAGATAGGATTTATTCCCATACAGTATGAGAATTAATATAAATATCAGTAATTAAATTTATTCAGCAAGCAATTAAATTATGAACATGTGCTTTTTATCACTCATTCCAAATCTATACCATTATAAAAAGTACTGACTTCATATATATTAATAAAGGTGATTGTGGTACAATTATAGTTCCCCAAATGATTGCAAACATCATCTGTGAACTTTATTCAGGTGTAACATTTATTTACACAGTCACAAACTAAGAACTCAATTATTTGTATTTCATGTCCTCACATTTTCACTCCTAGACAAGGGTAGTCATCCTACAATTGTTCTTTCCTTTTCATGAGTGAGATGTAATGATTACACTTTAGTTCCTATTCTTTCAAAACTTTTCATCTATAAATTGTTGCATTGTTATTGTGAGTGTAAGTCAAAGTCCATATTTCAAGAAGTGTCTCAGAAAAGTCCAAAATTCTTAAGCTTCAAGCTCAAAATCTTGTATTCTCCTATTTCTTTTAAGTCTGTCTCAAAAATATTCCCTTATGTGAATTTTCCAATCTAATCACACAATACATTCTGTGACTCCTGCAATATTTTCTGAATTCTGATTTTTCTTTCCTTAAATCAGTTTCTAACCACAATGAATGCCTTCTTTTATTTACTTTTTACTCATTTTAAATTCAGTCTTTTCAATACTTTCTTATCTACCAAAAGTTACTTTTTCTTTTTTTATTTTAAAGGTATTTGTTAAGTGACAAATGAAATTATATACATTTACTATAAAATGTATATTATATACATTACATTACTATATTGTATATTAATGTATAGTATAGTAATGTATATTATTTTACATTACTATAAAATGTAAATGTATATAAAATCTATTTCAGCAATTTTCAAGAAAATACTGTTATTAAATATAGTTGTCATTAGTACAGTAGCTATTTGGAACTTCTAACTGAAGTTTTCTAGACTTTCACTAACATCTCCTCAGTAACCATGAATGCTCACCCCAGTCTCTGTTCATTCTACTCTCTGCTTCCAAGAGTTGCACTCTTAACTTCCACATCTTTCTGTAGCTATCTTAGTTCACTTCCCATAGTACCCTTGAAGTTCATTGCTATCACCACAAATGACAGGGTTTCCTTGTTTTTCTAGGCTTAACATTATCCCATTGTGCATATTTGTCATTATCATTTTATGTCAATAGCACAATATGTTTCATAAAAATACAAACAAATCTATGACTTGTACAGAACCACAAATATAATCTATTTTAATCAATCCTGAGCAAAAAGAAATGAGAAGGAAGAATCAACTATCTGATTTTAAAATATACTGTAAAAAAAAAGGGGGGGGGTGAGAATGACCCCTGACCAACCAAAGCTGTGCACTGCTGGGCCTTGCTTCCAGCACCTGTGTCCTGCTGTCACAACCATGCCCAAGACAAAGGCTGAAGAGGATGCTAAAAATAAAGCCAAGGTAAAGGACAAACAACAGAGAAGATCTGCAAGGTTGTCTGCTGAACCATCTCCTCCAAACCCAGAGCCCAATCCTAAAAAGGGCCCTGCAAATAAGGGAGGAAATGTACCCTAAGGGTAAAGAGCCAGCAAGGACAGCAATAAGATTGCAGAAAACGGAGATACCAAAACAAACCAGGCACCCAAAGCCGAAGGTGCTCTCTCCACTAGCTCTCTGCACTTAAGATGGTTAAGTCCATGTTAATGATAGAGAAAAGGGGGACATAAAATGAACTTAGAGTTGTCCCATACTACAAGGCTTTTATGGTCACATGTGACATCAGGGAAGTCTTCCTTCTTGGAGCCAAGAGAAAGTTTCTCAAACCTAGCAGAGAAAGATGCTTTCCACATATCAATCTAGCTTTTCGGGACATTGTACTAATGACATGTGTTCCTCCCCACAAAATAATGCCAACAATATAGTTTTTTAAAAATTCTGCACTTTTATAAAGCTTTATTAAAAAATCAGTTATTGTGTTGTTTGAATTCTTTATATATTTTGGATACTAACTGCTTGTCAGATATGTATGATTTACAAATATTTTCTCCAACTTTGCACCATGCCTTTTGATAGTGATACTTGTTTCATTAGGTGTCCAGATCTTTTTGATTCTGATATAATCCTACTTGATACTTTTGTTGCCTGTATTTGTGGGCCAATACCAAATAATTTATTTCCAAATAATTTATTTCATTATCAGACAGTTTTCCCCAACGTGTTCCTCAAGAATCTTATTTTTTCCAAGTTGCATGTAAGTCTTTCATGCATTTGGAATGGTTTTTGAATATAATGTGAAATAAAGGTCAACTTTTATTCTTCTATAAATGAATTTTCAGATTTCCTAATATCATTTACTGAAGATACCATCCTTTCTGTATCCTTCCTTCTCAGTGTTTGTAGATAATCAAGTGACAGTAAATGCGTGGTTTTTATAGCTGAGCTATGTATTTTATTTCATTAACCTATGTGTCTGTTATGTTATTAACATGCCCTTTCACAACACATTCTTTCAATGAATGAACAAAGGCATCTTTCCTCTTACTGTGACAGCCCCACTTTATATCATCAGTGTTTCACTGTTGTCAATACAGAGATCTTCCATGTACTCTTTGGTCACGTTTATTATAAGTATTTTTTAGTAGTGATTTGGAATGTTTTCTTGGTAGTCTTGCAGATTGTTTATTGTTAGTCTATAGAATTGCTACTTATTTTTGCACATTGATTTATGTTCTGCCACATTATTGAATTCATGTATCTGTTCTCACAGGGTTTTTTTGCGGAGGAGGGGAGGGGAGAGGGAGTTCATAGGGTTTTCTGTATAAAAAACCACAATTTCTACAAACAAATTTTTCTCTTTCTAATTTGGATACATTTTATTTTTATTTCTTGTCTATTCGGTTTAGGACTTTGCATTCTCTATTTAATAAATATTTCCAAGGTGACATGGTCTTACTCTGATAAGTTACATTCCTTCCACATCTAACTATTCCAGAGCTGTTAGCATGAAAGGATGCTGAATTTCATCAAAAACTTTTTGCCATCTATTTTCTACTCTTTCTATAAAATTTAATTATTAACTACTGCCAACAAAATTCATTTTAATAATATCACTAATGCATAGTAAACAAAATGTAACATTCATAAAGTTCCTAAGTGCTTTCATGAATCATCTTTAAACATCAAAGCAGTTATACACATAGCATATTATCAGTAATATTATTAATACATCTATCTCAAAAATAATGAAACAGAACTTTTAAAACCTAAGCAACACATCCAACTTTAACTAGCTAGTAATTAACCAAGCCATGATTCAAGCATATAATCCAACAGTTTCATCACTAGGTATATTTCCATGAAGAATAAAAATATTTATCATAGAAACTTTTTACATGTATACCTATTCCTTTGAAAATATATGTTTATCAATGGAATAATGATGTACGTACAATTAGCTATCATTCTGGAATTAAACATAGCATCTACTAATACAGGCAACAATATTACAAGACATTGTACTAAGAGAAAAGCAAACACAAAAATGCATATGCAGGACTCTATTTGAAAATTTTGAATAAACAAAATGCTATCAGATGTCAAATCAGATAAAGCTTTTGTAGTATGCAATGGAATGGTTTATGTCTTCCTTAAAATGATAATCTCCAAGGAGCTTAGGGACTTTGGGGAGTTATTAAGGCATAAAGTTATAAATCTCATAGTTAGAATAGTGGATTAGTATCCTTTAGAAATAAGGAGGAAAGCTAGTTTATCTCTTTCACCACGTGAGTACACAGGAAAAAGGTTCAGCTATGAAATAAACACCAAATCTTCCAGAGCCTTGAAACTGAGATTTTTTTCAGAATGAGAAATTAATTTCTGTTGTTGATAAGTGATTCAGTTTATGGTACTTTTATTTTACCAATCCAGAAAATTTACAAAAGAAGATACAGATAAGTGATTAAGAAATTTTCTATTGTGATGAATTAACTGCTGCACATTCTGAAGGTCTAAGCATTTCATGTTTAACTATGCCTCTTGTTTTTAAATATAACTATGTAATATTTTCACAAGTAAAAGTCAGATGATAGTAACCATGAAAATTTCATGCTTTCCACAATAATATACATATGTTAACAAGGTATATGTTCACAAGGAATTTCCTGAATTTGATTCGTTTCCTTAAAAACGAAAAAAATTATAAATAGAACATACAAATAATATAACGCTCTTGTAAGCTATTTGAATTACAAAATTTAGGCAGAAAAGCCATAGATTGCTTCTTTTACATCATGATTTACTTGTTTTATCTGACCTTAAAAATTAGTAGTTATGACACAATAATTAAACTTCTCAAAGGCATATGAAGATTATACCTTTCTTTTCACCCATTGAAGAAAACTGCACACACACACACACATACACACACACACACACATACACACACACACATACACACACACACACACATGAACACAATCACATAGAAATTTCAGCATTTTAAAAATGTTTTATATATGGTTGTATGTATTAAATGCATACTTAGATATCTTTTATGCCTATTATATAATTTGAATATTTCTTTCTAAAATATATATAAAACTTAGCCTTAAACTTCAATTTAATGGTATTTAACAGTCTATTATATGCAAGCATTAGAATTATATATATATATATATATATATATACATATGATATAACTAATAACATATTGAAGGACTATTAAGTTTTAAATCAGCCTATCATAAAATTTTATCACAATGAAATTGGACAAATGTTTACTATTTAAGTTAGTCAATCTTCATTATATATCTTTTCAATTCAATTATAAATTATAGAATTTTATTAGCATTTTTATAGCATTCCCAATATCACTATGTAGATTCTAGAAAAATTCTAAAATGTTTGCTTGATTGAAAGTTTTAGGAAAGGTCCCTAAAATTTTAAAAAACGTCATGTTGACATAATAACCTGCCTCAATTTTATTCACTTGTTACTTAACTTTTATTTTTTGAGCCCTAACCTTAGAGTTTTGTCTATCAACCCCCAACTCAGGAAATTATTACCTTGAACATAGACCATTTCAGTAACGTCCTTTGTTATTTTTGTCTCCAGCCTCTGTCTACTGTCATATAGTTCATACCAATGAACAGGAAATTTTAAAATACACATTTTTATTTCATGCTTTTCCACAAAAACCTTCAATGATAATCTATAAAATAATTAAAATGCTAAATAAGCTTATTAAATATAGACTTTAATAATTAGAGCTAATTCAGCCTCTCAAGATGTATTATTTGTAGTACTTACTGTCTGAATATTTCCTGACATTGACTTTCTATGTGATTGAAATTCTAATTTTAAGGGTTATATTTTCCTTCTCTCTGAGAATTTCTTGTATATCTGTTACATAAGCTTTATCCAAGCACATGAATTAACCATGTGTCTTCCTCAATAGAGTGCAATTACAAAATAAAGCGTTTTACAAAATGTTAAGTAACATATTTTATAATAAGTGTCTATTAATAAATACTAGCCAACTTGAAGTTAAATCATATATAAAATGTTAGGCTAGATCAAAGGATATGAAACAAGAGGAATAGGGTAGAGTTGCATTAAACTCCCGTGAAGATTTCAGCAGAAATCATGAAGGTTATTGTGCTGGTTCCTTAGGACTGAATAACAATCTCTAGTTATGCAAAGAGGAAAAAGATGAATATATGTACTGAAGGTTGGAATAACTGGAAACAAGTATGTTTACAAGAAACAAAGAGAAAGATTAAAAAGGCAGGCAACATATAGGAAATCAAGAAAAGAAGTATACTTAATGTATAAATTAAAAAAACACAAAATATTTCCTAAACCTGTGAAAAAGTAAAATGTTTTAACATTTAACATCAGAAAATTTCAATAACAGAAATCAATATAAACTGTGTATTAAAGAATGGAAACCTTTAGGAAGGTATTATAATAATTTAAATGAAATAATGAACTCTGGGTGTAATAAATGTGGAATACATTTCTATCATTTATCTTCCCAAACTGTGTTTTTTATTTGCTTGATAATAATCTCAGTCTGTTAATACTACAAAGTACCAACATGTCTATGACTTGCTATTCAATATCATAATACTCCTGAACTCTACAATCACTTTGCAGACTGTCAACATGTTCATGTGGGTAAATACTCAATATCTCAAGCTATCAAGCTTAATATGGCTAAATCATGACTTTAAATTTTCATTTGAACTCTCTTGCACCTCAGTCTTCCGAGTGACAGTAAGTCCATATCCACATTCATCAATATGCTTTGTGCAAAATTCTAGAAATTATCATTGAATGTTTTCTTTAATACTTTGTGTCCAGTCTATAAAATTCTACATAAAAATATGTACAAAGCACATCAAATTCTGTATGTTTACACTAAAGCAACAGCAGTAAGCAATCAGCCCTTTTGATGTAGACCGTTCCCAGAGCCTTCTCCCCATTCTTATTTTCCTCTGAGCCACCTTAGCCAAACACACTTCACTCTGCCCAGAGCTACAAAAATGATTCTTTATACATACATCATATGATATTTCACTACTGTTTTTAAAAAAGCAAATGAATATGTAAAATGTGACATTCTCCTTTGTCATATTATGAAAAAGAATTCGCAGGACTAAAAAGAAAGGATGTGATCATTTCTTCAAAAAGTTGGAGTTTTTTTTTAAAAAAATATTTAGAGAAATTGTAGCAAAAATGGAGATTGTTTATCCAGTAATCTTAATTTTCTACTCATGCTGAATATCAAATTCATTCTGATGGTGCTTTATTTTTAATTTAAAACTTAGACATTCCTTGGATTGAGAATAAAATTTTATTAAAATGTATTCTTTGATATATAACAATATAAAAATATGCAGGGAGTCCAGTGGCTTTGACATCAAAGTATAAATCTGTTCAAAATATTAAAGCACTAAAGACACTGAATTTCATGGAAACAATAGTAACTGAAAGATATTAGAGCAAAGTCTAAACTCCCAAGTTAATCTTCCTAAAATTGATGAGGTCAGTGTTTTCTCCAAGTGCCTTTTTTAGTTCCTCATCAAAAATGAGCTCTTCCAGAGGATTAAAAGGTAAGTAACAAACCTGACTGAAATGACCTACTCACCTTTGACAGACCTCTCAGCCCAATGGGCCAAGTTTCCTCCCTGTGCATAAGACTTCTCCTTTTGTGCACTGTTTTCTTACATCAAATATTTACACTATTTTTTTTATTCTTTCAGTCATTATGACACAGTGCCTTTATTCTAAATGACTTGTGAATCTATTCCAGTGGATAAATTATATAAGGAGGATAATATGTAGATTTCACTGTGTTTACTATAGAGTGAAAGTAAAGCAAAAATTTAAGAAGTCACAGGAAGAAAGCTCATAGCACTATCTGCATATACAAGATGCATCACGGGACTAGTGAAAATGAGGGAATGTTTTCACGAGAAAATAAGAGTTAGTTAGTTTTATCATGAAGTTGGGAGCCTCTGAGGGAGCATTCCATTATGGGTGCAAGGAATCAAAAATGTAAAAACACAGAGAAAATACCAACTTCAGTGAACTACAACTCACTTGTTACTATTAGCAAAAATATGCTGAGGAGTTAAGCACAACATGAAAGGTGTTGGAAGCCGTGACAAAGGAACTGAAATGTTATAAGTGACTAGAAATGATTGAAACATTCAAGAAACAACCTGAAATATTTGGATTTTACAAATGTCACTCTAGCAACAATATGGAAGGTGAACAGCAGTAGTTGGTCGATTCTGTACAAAGGATGAGAGATTGTCAAAGCGTATTGACAAGAAATACGGAAAGCCAGAGATAATAATTGAAAGAAGAAACAAAATGAAAAACAGAAGCACCATCAGCAAGAGCAGCAATTGTACCTAAAAACTGAGCTCCCACATTATGTTCAGCATCTTCCCAGTGTTTTAGATAATCACATGCAGTACAACAAGGACTCATGTACTGTGTGTTATTATCATTAGAACAGTTTTTTACATGGAGAACATAAGTGTAAACTGCCAGTGTTGCTACAGCCATAAAATGTGGTTTGAGTGTACCACCTGTGATTTGGAAGATGCTGTTATCAGAGACACCATGTGTGTTTCCCATGTACGGTCACATAATAGGGATGGGACAATAAAATACTAGCTGCTCCTTCACTGTGTGAAATATTACACGGAATTCTGTCAGTATGAATATAGAAGCGAAACTCGATTTCCTTCACTGTATGGCATTTTCCTTCCCTTCACGAGCTACCCTGAACTTGTTCCTCTTTTAGATGTACTAGCTCTCCCTGTTATCAACACCTCGTTCCTAAGCATGTACTGTTTCCTCTGTTTTTATAGCAATGGTTTTGCTTGTTCCTTTGAGGAAAAGGAAAATGGCTTATCTTTCACTTGAGTGATCCTCTGTTCCTCTTCGAGTGCTTTCAGACATAGTGTCTGTGTGTGTGTGTGCTATGTGTGGATTTGTAGGCGTGCTTGAAAGACTACAAAACAAGGGGCAAAATCTGTAAGAGTTGTATATGTGCCATTGTATTGACATGCACAAGGGGATAAACATAGGAATATAATAAACATTATTATTATTATCATTCAAATATCTCATATAAATTATCAACCAATAATCATTCTACCTACTAAAAGAAGCGTGAAATTAGTGAAATTTATTATATTTTATTTTCACAGTCGATGAGCTAACTTGTTAAATATCCCAAAATTAATCAAGTTAAAAGATTGAACATTGTTAGAAAAATGACATTGATGAATGAAAACCTATTTTCTCTCACCTAGAATACTGCTAACTCATCTAATGGAAAGAAGTAAAACTGTTAATTTTAAACACTGACATTAAACCTTCACACATAAATATCACTGTGATGAACTATTGTGCCAAAGAACCATGCAGTATGCATTAAAAATTTGAGTTGTGTTGCTGGTCTTATTTAGAGTGGCGCTACAGTTTCCATGATGCCTAGATGTATGATTTTAGGGCACACTTGGTTATTGGCAGAATTTCCCTATTATGGCCTTAACCTTTCTGGTAAGAACTGCCACTGTAAAAAACATATGGCCTTTCTCTCTATCTCTCCCTCTACCCTGGGAAAGAAAACAAAATGAAAACAATATCATACTCCAAATAAAATAACAGAGAAGAATATTGCTGTCAGTGACTTAATACACAACGAAGAAGCAGAGGTGCCCATGTTACCATCACTTAATTAATTAATTCAACCATTTAAAAAAGCAAATGGATCTAAATATATTATATTGAATCCTACACACTCAATAAAGAACCACTCCTAATTAATAGGTACTGTGACAAAAATGGTATTCCTTTTCTAAAATGAACTAAGGTGTCATTAAATATATACTGTGTTATCACTTATATGGTGAATTGAAATCTTTTCCATACCTATCATAAAAATGGACCAAGTACATTACTGATTATTGTAAAATAAAAGAACCACTTTGTAGGTTTGTCTTAATTTATCCTTCATCATTCTTGATTTTATCCTATATTCATTATTCTTGAACTTGATATTTGTTCTTGGTTTTCCCATCTTTGATCCATAATGATAAATAACTTAGTTCATTCCTTTAAACTCTTTTCCTCTGTCAGTAGCCTGCATACCTTAAATCTGAAATGACTTTAAGTCACAATTATAGACAAGCCAGACCTAATCTCCATGTAGACTATCCAGAGATGCAGAAATAAATTGAGTTTTATGTTATGTGACCAGTTAATAATCATTAAATAATATGGTTAGGCAAAAAAAGTTCTTCAAATAAAAACTTGCAGTGATAATGCACTCAAACCATTGATTGCTTTAGCATTACCCTTGAGATAAAAATGATAAACACACATTCTTGACTTGATTTTAAAGACTCTTCAGGATTCATGCTCTGTGTACCCCTCCTCAAGTCATCTATTCAATCACCCACATCATCATAAACTGTATCTTTTCTCCTTCAGTGAACCAGCCACATCAACCTTTCCATGGTGATCAAGTACACCACACAACCTCTGCCAGTATACAATACAGTGTTAAAGGCACTGCAGATGAAAACCTTTTCATCACATTTCCAATTAAAGGATATATTATCTTGACTGCTTTAGCACTCTGAATATATTTGGATCTAAATATACTAAAGTTAAAATTTGATTTTTCTGTTCAATAGATATATGGGAAAGGCAAAGTTTTGTTTCTTACCATTAAGTCATCTGAAGGTAGGAAGATCTCTAGGGGTGGAGAGGTTTCTAAGTCTGCTTCATAAACAACATTGATCTGAGGTATGCTAGAGCCTGTTAATAGGCCACTTTCTTCACATGGTGGTATATAAGGTCGAGCTAAGCCTTTCAATATCACATAAAATCCATCATTTCCAAACACTGAATGAAAACAGAAAAAAAATCAGGATTATACATATATATGGCATTAGACCCATAGGAATCTAATCTACTTACAATGAGAACAAATGCATACTTTTTTCCATACAGGAACAAACATCGAACTATCTTCTAATGGAATGGATAGTCAAAGGTATATTTGGAGTACCATTACATAGAGTAAACTACCTCAACACGGAATTAATAGTTTCTAGGGCAAAATAAAGAAATATAATAGCATATCAATTATTAATAGATTTAAGACTTTATGAAAAAAAATAAGGCCAGAAAAATCCTTGAAGTTTACTTCTTCCACCCAAATCATCACATGTGTATTTTATATAAGTAACACTATATTTCTACTACTATTATTAACATTGATGTGGATATAGTCATAGTCAGGGTTTTTACGGAAAACAATTTTATGCAGGATAATTTATGGAATTATTTTATAATAGTCATCCAGAGAGTCAAACACAGAAAGTTAAGTGAATCTGGCCACACACCAAAGACCCAAACAATCAATCTGAGGGCCTGGATCCCATAGCAACATCCTGCATGAGTCCAGCGTAAGACCTACAGCGCATGACAACATCCCACACAAATCCAACAACAATGATTCATGTCAGTCTGTTTCATGGATTTGCACTGGGAAGGCCCAAAGATCAGCAGTGGCAGCCAGAAAGTCTGTGCCAACAAGATGAAGGATCTGTGGCATTAAGGTTGAAGATTCTGCACTAAAGCAAGGAAGTGATACTCAAAGTAAGGATCAGAACTCCTCTGAAAAGTTTCACAACAATCCTTAACAACAGCAAGGTCTTGAGCTCCTCCAATGATGACACAGCCAAGTCCATATCAGGAAAGCCAGCAAGACCAGCTCCTCCAGAACTAACAGCACCGGAAGAATCAACAACACCAAACAACACTTCTTTCTCTCCATTTCTGCTTTTTATATTGTAGGCAACAATCATCAGGTGGGCCCCACATCACACTCAGCACCACACTGATTCAGTTCAACTGATGTTATAAGTCGACTACCAGTTATTAATCCACTACAGATATAATGAAGATAATTCATAGAATTTAATAAAAGACAGTTTAGAAAGGGTGATATTACCAGAAAGAAGAGTTTCTCCAGCACTTGTGTAACTCCCTTTTATAAATCTCCACAATCTGCCATCCAACTTAATTGCTAAAGACCAACTGTGTACCTGTAAATCTGTGTACCTGTAAATCAGGTGTATTCTCTGTAAGCATTTTGATTGCTTCTTACATCAATTTCACCTCGTCTGGAACCTACTGTTTTGAAGAAGCAGGCTATGGAACCTGGATAATATCTTTCTCCATTTCTCAATTGTTCACATTACTTTTTAGGATTGTAGCAAATTATTCAAGTGCTATATGATCACTTCTTAACACTTTCCTTATTACCTTGCTACAGATGAAAACTTTACAAATAGCTTTTGAGGGTAACTTTGTATGCCCTAAAAGTTGCCAATCACTGTTCCTCTTTAGCTTCTGAGCCCTGCATTTATTTACAGGGCTGTCTTTGTCACCTTATCCATACACAGTGATGTTAGAGAAAGTGATTTTTCACTCTTCTTTAAACCAGTTTTGATTTTCTTTGGATGTTGGAGCCTAAGCTGAATCCTGTTCTGAGTAACGCACTATCATTCATGAAACATCTAATCTGTGTGCTGAGAACTCTGAAGAATCATTGTTTATTCACAGCTGAGAAGTGAGTTATTGGAGGACTAGATGATAGTAAGCATATGTAAAGATTAGTGGTGATAAAATTTTGAAAAACTAGTAATGATTTTGACTGACTACATTGGGGTAACATAGTTAAGAGAAAGGAATATTCTAATATACACTGAGTTCTATTTTTTTAATACATGTTTGAGTTCTGTTTTTGTAGAGAGTTGGCTGGAAAGTTAGAAAGCTAGAAAGTTATAAAAGTTAGAAAGTAAGTAAGAAAGAAAGAAAAATAAAAAGAAAGAAGTTGTCAGAGTTTTCACTCTGATGTTATTGAACCATTTGTCTGGTGACTTTTTACGATATAACATAAACAAATCCTGAAAATTTTTAAAGGATTGTCCTTTACAACACTGTTACTCAAAGCTGGATAAAACTTCTGTGTAGATACTGTTAGTATTTCAGCTAACTCCAAGCATAATTGGCCCATCTGTCACTTATATATAGAGTCACATTGTCACAGAGAATATTATCTCTGTGAAAAATCGATTTCTATAAATATGTATAAAGAATGGCATTTTGTAAAGGGAGTAGAAATAGATAAAATATCTTTGAGAAATTTAGGATCAAAATGTAATGCCATTTGGTTTGAAAAGTTACTTTGAAATCAGCTAAATATAATCAGAGTATTGTATGATGAAACTTGACGTAGCATTGTGACTGGATATAAATATAACTGCCTCAGGAATCAGTAGAACACACTTCCGGGTGTGCCTGAGTGGGTCGTGCAGGAATACTGTTAGATATCTGTATGGTCCTGGCCCCTTCCTTGCCAGCACTGTTTCTTTCCTTTGATCTCCAGATGCCATGAACCATGCAGTTTTGTTCCAACCTGCCCTTCCACCGCAGTATTCCTGCCTCGGAGCCAGCCTACCATGAACTAAACCCTTTGAAAGTAAGAATCAAATTAAGCCTATTCTACTTTAGGATTTCAGTCTGAATATTTCATCCAGCAACAAGAAAGTGGAAAAATACATACGTTTAACTGTGTCTTTCTAGGCTAGGATTAACAATTCATATCATGTGTTAAAAATCATTCCATAGTTTTCCCTGCATAGAGTTCATTTCAAAAGCAGCACCTAACGAATATGTAACAATAGCACACAAGTGTTAACCTGGGAGTGGCTGTCATGCTCCAAGAGAGTATGTTCACTTTGATAAATACCACTCCTCTGTTCTTCTCAATGAAACCTATTTTCTTTAAGCTTTTGTCCAGTTGCAATGAATTTTGCTAAATAATGTGTTTACATTACATAAATGTTTTCATTTACATGGTAAAGATATGTATAATATTAGGGAAAACTTTCAGAGGTAAACCAGTTGGAAGAATTTGAAAAGAATGAAAACATATTTAGGTTTGAAACATCTCATTGATTCCCAAATTAAACTTACAAGAAAGAGTTCTAACCCCAACAATGTTGTATTTGAGAAATTAAGGGGTAAGAGAGAGAATTTTAGAAGTTTACTGTCAATACAATTGAATCCATTATAAACATCCATTATTAATATCCATTAATATCTTCAAAATAATACATTACAAATGGATCCAATTATTGTCTAAGAGGCAGGAAAAGGTATTAGGCTAAGGACCAATGTGACACTCATTGTATAATATCAAGAAAGAAGGATATTTTAAGGCTTCATTTTTAAAAATATTGTCAAGTCAAATTATCTTTGTCTTAAAAGATTTATTCAATTAGTACTTTAAATGATTAGCCAACATGAAATAATGAACTTTTAAACATGAGGATGAAATTGTATATAATTATAACATTTACATTACTTAACAGAACTGCTTAAAATGATTTATATTAAATATTACTTTGTAAAAACTCTTGACATTAGAATGTGTAAAACAATTCTCACAAGACTTGGTCCTCAATTTTCTTTACCTGGATCACTTGCATCAGTTTTTCCAACCTCTAACACACTTCTCAAGAAATATATTTTATTGGTTTGGAGCACAGTATATTTTACATCTTTATGTAAAGACATTTTTGAAATTGTATCCCAAATCACAAGCCCCATAATTATTTGCAAAACACTGACAATATTTTCATAACACATTCAGTTATTTTTAGATGCAAAATAACTGTTCAATGTATGGCTAAAAATAATTTTTAATTAAAATGAGTGAAAAGGAACAAAAAAATAAGAACCACTTATACATAAATCCATTTCTAATAAGTGCATTTATTTGAAAACAGATGGAATAAGGACTAGAATTATCAAAATTTTAAAATTAAAGGAAATAAAACTTTGGTATGCATTTAGAGCAACTGAACTTCTTACACATTGTTTGGGTGAATGTAAAATAGTATAATTATTTTGTAAAAGTGTCTGTTTTCATACAATGAGAAATGAACCTAACCTACGCTCACACAATTTTGCTACTTAGGTATTTAGTGAGGAGATTAAAAAAAAGTAGACCCTGAAGTAAGTACTTATGCAAGAAAGTCATTAGCAGCTTTATCATGATAGTCAAAAGCTAGAAATAACTCAGGTCTCCAATCATAAAATAAGGGGTATGTAAGCTCTTCTCTATGGGTGACTATTAATAATAAAAAGGAGTGAACTGTTGATTCATGCAACATGAATTAATCTCAAAAGCATTATGCTAATAGAAAGAAAGCTTTCACAAAAGGAGATATGCTACTTGGTTTTTAAGATTCTAAATGCTTCATAAAAACTTAACTTTTAACAGAAAAGAAAAAAAAGCAAAACAGAGAGTAATTGCTCCTGAGAATTGGGCCAGGACTAATGGAGATGAAATGAGAGCTTTGGAGTGGTGGTACAGTTGTATATTTGGTAAGGATTTAGGTTGCAGTACTTGTCAAGGTTTATCAAATGACACAGCTAAAGTAAACACATGCAGATCACCATAAGCACATTTTGTCTTAAAAGTAAGAACCTAGAAGCTACTGAATTCTGGAACATTTTGAAGTGGACTGTCTTGATACTATGCCTATCAATAGAATGGAATATGGTGTTAATATAACAAGTATTTTTAAAGTGTTTCCTTCTTTTGTGTGTATTATACACCATATACTGACATAAATACAGTATATATTAAACTTTTAATCTTTTCATAAGGTACTATTTTTATGTTATTATAATTGATTCAAACTTATAATAAGAAAATGACAACGAAAAATTAAATTTCCGACCCATGTTGGGAGAGTCAGGATTAATAGAAGCAGTATTTCATCCACAGTTTCCTATAGTCCCAGATCACTATGCTGGTCTTT